TCATATGGTATAAAAGAACCATATTTTCGGATCCTACTCAAGTAGCAAAAAAAAGAAATCAATAATAGATAAAACCCCCATACTCAAGCTTGTGGCTGCAATGGGATTTGTAGTTCACCATCTTCTGAAAATGGTCCTCCATGTATATAATGAATCAAAAATTTTTCAGGATTATCAATATTCATGTAGTAGCGGTGGACTGTTATAATCCCACCAAGATGATGCACAAGATGGGAGTGCCAGTACATCACTTGGTCGTTATTATCACCAATCGCTTCAATCAAGTATTTGTGGCATATCGTATAATTGTGTCCGTCTCGTCGCCTCATGAATCCAATTGGGTAAATGAATATACCATTAATTGGGGTAGGTTCAATTTCTGCACGCATTGGGATTGTGTCGTTATTCAAGAGATACAAAGCCTCATGTTGGTATAGCACCAGATGCTCTGAGGCTAGTACAATTTGCTCTGTGAGATATGTCTATACAACCACATTTACATGAGCTTGGGCGTTTACTTCAATGACATGAACATGACCCTGAGCGTTCACGTCATTATTATACACTTGACTACTGGAAAATGAACTGGATTGACAACCATCTGATATCCAACATGTACAGTGATTGTAAATCCATCTTCATGGATATCATTTATGAACCCTGGCGGGTTAACACCACCACAAAATCCTTCGAAGTGATATCTTACATCCATCAATAAACCAACAAGTCGCAACTAAAGAAAGAAAGGGTGATCGAGGTTCTCCAAATCGATATTTTTGTGACTGTTTTTTTTTTATGTGAATATCTAATTTATAAAATAAAATATATACTTTCTTTTTACCAAGAAATATAGAAATATATGTACGTGGGCATCAAAGCTTTTATATAGATTGATACCTCTTTCATGTATGTTTTCAAAAATTAAATTGGACTAGATCAGGACTCGTGCTACAGCACTTGCTAAATTTTCTTACAAAATTTTATATATTATATATTTTAAAATCAAGTTTTGATATATTATAGAGTAAGTGAAAAATATTAAATTTTTTGTCAGTCCCTATATATAATATTAGAATAAATATATTTTATTTTTATATAATACTAAATTATGGATATTGTTTTTTAAGATATGAAAACAGAAAGTAATAATATTTTAAAAATTAATATTGTTTGAACAATAAGTGAATTTATGTTAACAACCATAAAATAAGATTGCATATAATTCTGTTAGATCAAAAATCAAAAATCAAAATATCATAAATGAGTAGCATCTAAAACGTAGATTATTTTGAGTTAATTAAGAAAGTTAGCTATAATTTTGAATTAATTTAGGAAGTTCCTTTTTCAATTTGTAATTATTTGTTTGTTGAAATAGAGATTTGTTTGAGCTAATTACAGAATTTAACAATTATTCGTATAATCGAATATGTTATGAAAATATTTTTGGTATATAATAATACCAAATTCAACCCGTTTAAGTAATTCAATCACCGTCAAAAATAATAATTAATCTCTCCATTCCTAATAAAATATGTTTTGAAATAAAAAGTTGTTTCAGAATAGATGTTTTGTAGTATTTTTTTACTCCCTCCGTTTCAGTGTCGTTTTAAGGTTTTATTTTTGTTTCACAAAGAGTGTCGTTTTAGGTTTTCAATGCAAAATTTAATGATTTTTTAGGTTTTATGACTATTAGTATTCTGCATATTGTTTTACTATTGGGCAGATTATGTTTAGGTATATAGTTAATGATGTTTTTGTTTAGAAAAAACAAAAAATTTAATGTTTTCTTAATCTGTGTGCAAAACTCTAAAATGACACTCTTTGTGAAACAGAGGGAGTATTAAAAAATTATACTTATTAACATTTCATCTTTATCTTATTAGTTAAAGTTAAAATAAATGAAACAAAAACTGATTTTTTTTTCTTGTGCACCCCGAAACAACTACTGATTGTTTTTAATATATGGGACTGTTGGATATTATAATCCATTGTTGACCGAAAAAAAGAAAAATAAACTGTAGGATTTTACACTAATAATTAAACGTTTCATTCTATGACTATGAGACCACAATCACAAGATTCACATCTACTCTCTTCCGTTTCTAAAATTTTTTATCTATTAAAATTTAAAAATAAGAAAAAAAACTACTACAGTATTTGTTTTTAGAAACGGTGGGAGTAATTAAGAACAAATAAATCGAGATAGAAGACAATAAATGATCACAGAGCAAGCACGTTCACGTATAATAATAATAGAATCATAAAGAACAAATTTAAAGTCACCACTAAAATTTTAACGATTTATGGTAAATTAATTGCCTGGTCAAAATTTTAATACCATAACTATTAAAGTCTAATGGCATGTTTATCCATAAAAACAGAGGTGTGCATTTGTAATAATACTTTTTCCTTAATTTCTTTCTTGTATTCTGGCAATATGGTTAGCCATGATTAGATTTAGTATTTTTTTTAGTCAAAGTAAT